TTCAAATTATAGCAGCTTTCCAGAGCATGCACCCAAAATATTAACTGTCACTATCTGTGTTTTCAGACAGATTACATGACATAAACACATCATTTCTCTGGGATTTATAGTTAAAGGAAATTGATTATTTGGGTGTGTAGTTTTGTTTTCTTTCCCTTGTCATTAGGCTTCATCGTTAAACACAACTACCGTGAGAGCAAAAATGATTAAAGCTCAGCTACTAGATTAGGACACAAATTGTAACTCAAATACAAATAGAAGGTAAAAGATAAATAACTATTTGTGGTATGTTTTCATTAYCTAAAATTTTCACATTTTTGTTTTTAACGTATAATTTAGCAAGTGCTGTCTAAACACATSATTTTAAATGTCTGTTTGATGTTATTTATACTGAGTTTAATAAAAATCCTCTTACACCTACCACATTATCGTTTTATATTTGATAGTAGAGTTAGCGTCTGATGCTAATGWTGCTAACTATTTAACGTCAACGTTGTCAAGCTAGCTTTATTTGTTCATTTGCTACCCGATTTAAGCGCAGTCTATAGACGTTTTTAGACCTGACAGCATGCTAAATATTTRTTTTTAAAAGTTTATGTGGTGTTTCGTAACAAACACACCACTGCGCTGCGCRTATATGCACACGGAACTCGGGCCTGTTAGCATCAAAGCTACATTAGCTCGTTTCTCTGTTAAAAAACAAAAAAAAAACGATAAACAAGTTTGACTCACAGCCTCATGGCGCACACATGCAACTAAAACCTACACAACGCGTATGCATTTCACTAGATACCTGTTTTCAATGTCCACAAATATAAACGGGTTAATTTCAGAAAGCCAGATGCTAAAGCACCAGACTGCCACTACACACGCCTCCTTCTTGTCTCGTCCGTTCAGGCTGCAGCACCGGGTGCCGCCGCTGGGAGCGCTGTAGGCTAAAGACWGAACCACAGACGAACACGTGCCTTGTGCCTAACAAGTGAATTATGTTTTTGTTCATTGCAATGAGTTAAATATAGCTCATTGGTTCATTGTGTCTTTACGCAGGAAGATTAGGGC